GGTTTGGAATCTTCTCTGTCTCAGCCCAGAGGCCCACTCTGTAAGAAGTCTGTTCTTCCAGACCCACACAAACACACACACACAGACTCTATGAGAAGTCTGTTCGTACACACACACACACACACACACACACACACACACACACACACAGACACACAGCAGTAGGGATTATTTTCCTGAACTTCCGTGACAACTCCGAGGTCAGACTCTGAAGCTCTTGCTCTCCCATTTTACAAACTATCTCTTTGCCCCCAATTCTGGATGCCCTGTGCCCCCAAGCTTTCCTCTCCCCAGAAATGGTCCTGTTTTGTTTATATAGCCTGCCTGGCAGAGGCAAAAGGAGGGGCTAGGCCTTCCCATACTCTGGCCTGCTTCCTTGCTTGCTTCCCTTCAGTCTGTTCACGTGGCTGCCGAAGGGATCCTAGGGAAATGTCAGACCCTGTTGCTCCCCTGCTCATAACCCTGGGTGGCTCCTCATCTAACAAGTGAAAGCCGAAGTCCTTTCAAAGGTTCCTCCCGTTTCTTTGCAGACTACATCGCTTACCACTCTCCGCCAGCCTGGCTGCTTTTCTTCAGATACACCAGGCACACTTCTACCTCAGGGCCTTTGCACAGTATCTCTCTTCCTGGCACACCCCCATCAGCCACCTGGCTTACTCCTCTACCTCCTACAGATCCTTACTTAGGTGTCACTCTGAGGCCTGTCCTGACCACCCTATTGAAAATCAGCTTTCCCCTTCTCTGCGTTCCCGACTCCCTTTTCCTGTATTCTTCTCTATGACATGTTACCATCCGCCGTACTGTCTTTGTTCTTGTTCGTTTATTGTCTGTTTCCACCTGCTAAAATGTGAGCTCCGTGAGGGCAGAGATTTTTGTCTGTTTTGTTCATTACTGTATCACCGGGACCTAGAACAGTGACTAGACTATAAATAGAGGCTTAATAAGGGAGCAGATGAATGACTGGTGCTCAATGGATGTCTGTTGAAAGAAAGAATGAATGAATAAATCAATCAGTCAGGAAAGAGCTAAACTCATAGGAAAGAAACAGAGAGAGGCTCACAGATTTCAGGGGAGGGTGTGTCATTTCTGGTTGGGGGTGGGGAGGGGACCAGGGAAGACTATCAGGAGGAGCCGATGCACTGTCGAGTCCATAGTACACCGTGGGAGGACTGGGATCTGAGAACAGCAGCCTGTGAGTCACTTTGCTTCCATCAAGGGAGGGGAAGAGACTGGGATTGGAAATACTAATCATCCCGTGAAGAATTGCTCCTCTTGGCGGTGGAATACACACAGGGCCATTCTGTTTATTTTCCTTTGGCCCCAAGCAGCTGGGCCTCTTTTTCATCCTAATTGCTTTGTTTTAAGTTGCTGTCACTTCCCAGGAACCAAGGCAAATTAACTGTACTGGTGGGAGACATAGCTGTTGGCCCAAAAGGCTGCCTCTGAGCATGCTCATCATTGCATGGGATATGGGACCCTGGTGGAGGGGGTCCCTTGGGGGCTCATCCCAGCAGTGTCTTCTGCAGCCAGCTGGAGTAGGGAGCATGAAAAGAGGGAGCCTCTCTGTGTGGCATCTCTACAACTAACAAAAGGTAAAGGGGGGCCCAACTGGATTTCCACATGCAAAAGGCTGAAGTTGGACCCCTATCTCACACCATATATGAAATTCAGAAATTGATCAATGACCTTAATACAAGAACTAAAACCATAAAACTCTTACAAGAAAATGCAGGGGTAAATCTTCAAGACCTTGTTTTTGGCAATGAATCTTTAGATATGACACCAAAAGCGTGAGCACAAAAGAAAAAATAAATAAATTGGACTAAGGGCCTTATCAAGAAAGTGAAAAGGCAATCTACGGAATGGGAGAAAATCCTTGAAAATCATATATCTGAGAGGGGTTTAATATCTAGAATATATAAAGAATATATAACTGAACAACTAAAAGGCAAACAAATACAAAAACTGGAAAAGGACTTGAATAGACCATTTCACCGAAGAGCCACTAAGCACGTGAAAAGATGCTCAGAACCATTAGTCATTAGGGAAATGCAAATCAAAACCACACTGAGATACCGCTTCACACTCACTAGGGTGGCTATGATCAGAAAAACGGAAAACAAGAGTTTGCAAGGATGTGGAGAAATTAGAACCCTCATTCATTGCCGGTGGGAATATAAAATAGCGCAGCCACTAGGGAAAACAGTCTGGCTGCTTCCTCAAAAAGTTAAACAAAAAATTATCATAGGACTCATCAGTTCCACTCCTAAGTATACATCCAGAAGAACTGAAAGCAGGGACTCAGATACTTGTACACCAATGTTCACTGCAGCATTATTCACAATAGCCAAAAGGTGGAAACAACCCAAGTGTCCATCAACAGACGAATGAATAAACAAAATATGCTATATACTTACAACTCATTGCAAGTACCGAATCATAGCGACCCTGTAAGACAGAGTAGAACTGCCCCATAGGGTTTCCAAGGCTGTAAATCTTTACAGAAGCAGACTGTCACACCTTGCTCCTGTAGAGCAGCTGATGGGTTCAAACCACTGACCTTTTGATTAGCAGCTGAGCACTTTAACCACTGTGTCACCAGGGCTCCACATAGGTACAATGGAATTTTATTCAGCCATATGCTACGACGTGGATGAACCTTGAAAATGTTATGCTAAGTGAAGTAAGTCAGACACAAAAGGACAAATGTTGCATGATCTCACTTACGTGGAAGATCGGCATAGGCAAAGGCATAGAGACCAGCGTACATTAGTGGTTACAGGGGCTGCAGAGGAGAAGGAATGGGAAGTTAGTGCTTAATGGGTAGTTAGTGTGAGTTTAAAGTGTTAAAAAGCAAAGATGTCACTAAGTGTGTCTGACCCAAGCCATGGTGTTTTCAATTGCCTCCTGCATGTGAAAGCTGGACAATGAATAAGGAAGAAGAATTGCCATCTTTAAATTGTGGTCTTCTTGGAGAATTGAATATCCCATGGGCCGCCAAAAGAACGACCAAGTCTGTCTTGGAAGAAGTAGAACCAGAATGCTCCTTAGAAGCAAGGAGGCGAGACTTCATCTCACATACTTTGGACATGTTCTCAGGAGGGACCAGTCCCTGGAGAAGGACGTCATGCTCGGTAAAATGAGGGTCAGCGAAAAAAAGGAAGACCCTCAACAAGATGGACTGACACAGTGGCTACAGCAGTGGGTTCAAGCATAGCAATGATTGTGAGGATGGCGCGGGACCGGGCAGTGTTTTGTTCCGTTGTACACAGAGTTGCTGCGAGTTGGAGCCGACTCAACAGCACCTAACAACAATAACAAGTGTGAGTTATATCAATGGGCTCCCTTGACTCTGGCCCCCAATGGGGAGCATCAGCTGTGGAGGAGCATGAGGTCAGGGTATTTATTTCCCAGCTCTCTCCGTGCAGGGCTACCTTGCACTGAACTTTTTGCCTCCGCTGACCAGAAGTCACAACTCCTGTCAGGTAACCAGGTTGTGGTAGCTGCCCACCCCCCTCACCCTCCAAGCCTAGGAGTGGTGACAGCCACTCTGTCACTAGCCTTACACTGTCCCTTGTCGTTGCCCTACACCCTTTTGTCTCTTTCCTCAACTCTGCTGAAATTACCCAGTTGTGTGTGTCATCTCTTTCCTGTCAGGACCCTGCCTGATACACACTCTGTCCCCTCTGGCCTTCGACTCCCTGGGTGTCTGTCACTGAGAGACCAGGTTTGGGCACAGCAAAGGATACTGGGAAACGTCCGTCTCAGTGCCTGGGCCTGATTACACAGTGATGGAACCAGAGGAATGTCTTATGGGAAAGGGCGGTGCCTCAGTGACAGGAAGCTGAGGCCTTGCCTCCCAAGCCACTTGAATTTGAGGGGAAAAAATTGACCTTTAGAAGCTCTCTGAGGAGTGGCTGGGAATGAAAATAGAACCAGATGCACGAGCTGCAGGGAGCACAGCTTCTGCTTCTTCCTCCCCAGTGAGGGACCCAACAGGTCTGCAGCCCTGGCTTCAAGGTGGGGCCTGGCCCTCTATGCCCTGGCCGGAACTGACTCGATCAGGTTTAAACAAGGGGTCCTGTAGGGTATGCAGGGAGAGCCTCGGAGACCTTTGCTCCAGGCCCAGCCCTGCCACCTATTTGCTGTGTGACGCTGGACTGTTTGCACCACCTCTCTGAGCCCCAGCTTTGCATTCGTCAGTGAGAACAGTGACTCCTGTGTGATGCACAACATTGCTGTGGGGTCAGGCGAGGGGACACGCGTGCAGGCCGCTTGGGAGGGGACCCAGTGCTGTGTAGTGGGAGGGTTGCTCCAGCTTCTAGCTCAGACTTCCCGGATTCTAGTCCAACTCTCATGCTTTCTGACCATGGGCCTTGGGCAGTGATTTCACCTCTCTGCGCCTCAGGTGGGCCTCTGTCAATGAGGACGGCAGTGCCTCAACTCCACCATGCCTCCTGGTCAGGGCATGGCCTCCAGAATATAACCCCTTGGCCCCCCTCCATTGTCTTAGGGACATAGGACAGTAAAGTCCGGTGGAGGTGGGTGGGGGGAGAGTGCTGGGGGAAGGGGCTGGCAGCAGCCTGTGAAACCCCCAGGATACGAGCCCCCTAACCTGGGCTGTGGAGATGGCTGGGTCCAACTGAAGATCCAGATGCTGAGAAGGTGTCACCTCTGTGATACCTGGGCCCCGGCCCCTGTAACCAAAGGTCCTGCTCCCCTAACCCATTGCCACTGAGTCGATTCTGACTCATAGTGACCCTATAGGACAGGGCAGAACTGCCTCATGTGGTTTCCAAGGCTGTAATCTTTACAGAAGCAGACTGCCACATCTTTCTCCCGCTGAGCGGCTGGTAGGTTCGAACTGCCAACTTTCAGTAGGTAGCCGAGTGCTTAACCACTGTGCCACCAGGGCTCCTTCCGTACCCCTAGGGAGCTCAGAGTGCTTCTCTTGGCTTCAGCCTCCCACCCTAAATGCTGAAAACATCTCTGGGCTGTCCCTAGGCCGTCCCCTTGGTCACCTGCTGCGACACGGCCTGGGGTTGCGGTGCCCAGAGCAAAGCTTCTCGCACAGAGACAGGGTGGTGCTTCCTTAACCAGCAGCAGCCACCCCTCTCCTGATAGCTCAGCGTGGGCCACCACGGAGTGTGGCACTGCTCTGACCCTCTGCTCAGGGAGAGCGACCTATGTTTTTTTCTGCTCAGCCCTGCTGCCGTAAAAAGGTCCGCAGGCTTCCCAAAGGACCACGTCAGAGGGATCATGAGCCAACTCAGACCTCTCTACCTTCTCATGGGCACTTGGGGGCCTTGTGCCGATTAACACCAGGACCCTGCCAGCAACCACCAGGGTCTCTTCAATCCAGTGGCCATCAAGTCGATTCTGCCCCTCTGACTTCACAGTCAAGTACGGGAGACAGCCCCCCACCCCCAATCATCCAGTTATAGGACCACAAGGTAAGTTCCCTGATGGAGACAGCCCCCTCTGTGTGAACTAGGACTTCCAAACCTCAGGGCAGCCGATGGCCTCGGCCCAGCTTTCCATCTCAGACCTTTCTCAAGGTTAGCGGGCTGGCAGGACACACTCCCCGCCCCATTTGGCGGCTGTCTTTACCCCTCCCCCTCCACCCCCCGCCATGTCCTGTCATTGCATCCAACCAGCTGCTTTGGTTGCGCACAAGAGAAGCCGCCTTTGGCTAAGTTAAGGAGAACAGGATTTTGCTGGAAGGACTTGGGTAACTCAAGTCTCCCCAGGAGCACCAGGGCACCAGGCTGCGAAGGACAGGATGCGAGCAGCTGCAAGCAGCAGTCTGCCTGGCCCTGTGTGGGTGACCTGTGCCCACCCCTGGGTCAGGGCAGGACAGGGCACTTTGACTGACCATACACTAAGATGGCCCACAGCAGGAGGAGAGGTAATTACCCCAAGTAAACTGGGTGCCACTGAAGAATGAGGAGTGGTCCCTACGTAGGTGGCCAGAATACAGCCATGACCACATGGTCTCCCTTCTGCCACCACCATTGGCTCTGTTGTGTCATTCGGCTATCCCAGCTTCCCTCTCTAGCATCTCCCTGGCCACAACCCTCCAGGCTTTCCCCCTCCCACCCCAGTTTCCTTCATGCCTGGGTGAAGACTGCCTGGAATGTCCTTCCTCAACTCTTTCATGTGAAGAACTCCTGCCCACCCTGCAAGGCCCATCTAATTGTGCCCTCTCCTAGAAGACTCCTATGTCAGCCTGAGGCTGAATACCCAGCCTGGCTCAAGCTCCTGCAGCATGGTCTGACCTCTGCCTGCCCTGCACCAGAATCGGTAGCTTATGAGCTTTCTGTCCCCACGGTGGAGCCCCCAAGGTCCCCATCTTCTCCTTGTGTCCACTTAGGGCCTGCTGAGGCTCATGGAATTGTTTGGCTTCTGGGGACATCTGGAGCCATGCCCTGGCACTGGTCTGTCCTGGGTCCCTGTCTCCCCAGGCCCCTGGCTTCCATCCTTCTCTCCCGCTTTCCCCACCCACGGTCACTCAGTTAATGTTCCGCTTAGCCTGGAGATGTCTTCCCAACAACAACTTCTCGACCAAATAAATAAATAAATAAAATTGTCGCTTAAAACTCTTGAGCAGTGAAGCAGCAGATGACGTTGTGTGGGCAGCAGCCCAGGGGACACAGAATGAACATCTCCTGAGTGGGTGGCCTTATAAGGACAGGTTCAGGAGGAGAATGGCCAGGAGGGCGGGCCGCCTGCCAGGGAGTGAGAGGCTGGGCAGGGGATGGGTGCCCAGCCGCTGGGCTGACTATGGAGCCAGCAGGGGTGCTGACGAGGACCCAGTTCCACAGGGGGAGTTGGCAAAGCGCCACCTCCAGAGGGACTTGTTGGGCCAAAGTCCATCTGTCCCTCTACCTTTGCTGCCATTGTCACCACACAGGCACTGACCTGTTCTCAACCAGCTGCCCCGCTGTCCCACGCTCCCAGCCCAGCACTGGGAACCTCCCCCACTCCTGGCCCAGCAGTGCCGGGCCTTAGCTGGTATCAATAAAGGTTTGTGGGATGGAAGGATTAGTAAATGAATGAATGGCTCCGTGGTGGTAGCTTTGGCTCATCCACTGGGCTGTAGCACCTGGAACACAAACCAAACCAAACCCATCGCCATCGAGTTGATTCTGACTCATAGTGACCCTATAGGACAGGGTAGAACTACCCCGTGGGGTTTCCAAGGGGCGCCTGGTGGATTCGAACTGTCGATCTTTTGGTTAGCAGCCGTAGTTCTTAACCACTACACCACCAGGGTTTCCACTACCTGGAACACAGGGATGTGTTTTCTCTTTTCTGAGCGGCCACTGCAGGGCTGGGTGCTTAACGAAGGATTTGTTGGTTGAGTGGGCCCCGCCCTTGAGTAGACCAATCAGTTCTTGCCCTGCTCAGGATCACCCCTGTCCCCAGCATGAAGGCACACACACCCTAGACCTCCTCCAGATAATGCCTGTGACTGGGGGTTTGCTCCCCCCTGAGGACACTGTGTAAGAGAGAGACAAATAGAGAGGGTTTCTGGGAGAGTCCTGATTGTCTAGGCACCCTTCAGACCCCACCATATCTGGGAACAAAGCTCCAGCCCTGAAGATCTGAGGGTAAGGAGAGCTGGGAACTCAGAAGGCACCAGTACCGGAAGCCTCCCCAGCCCTCGTCAGGAAAGGCTCTTCCCAGATCTTCCTGAAGCCCCAATTCCTCGTTATGGTGATTCTTACAGACAGAACGGATGGCCAAATGAGTTGAGGAGCTGGGAGGGTCACCCCTTCCCTTTGCCAGATTTACTGTGCCTAAAGCCCCACCATTTACACACTTCTGAATTAAGCATTGCCCTTTCCCCTAAATCCTCTTTTAAAAGGCTAAGAGTGTATCCTTAGAAGGGTCAACAGTGGAATTCTCTAATCACCAGATAAGAGGATGGGACAGCTAGAGGTTGAGGAGCGGGGCTGGGGAGAAGTGTAGAAGGAAATGACTGAGCGGGGAGGAGAGTCCAGGAAGAGAAGGCTCCTGACTTTTCTGCCTGATTCTTGGAGGCCAGCTGTGACCCGAGGGTAGTGTATCCCCCAGACCTCCCCCGCCCAGAATTTAAAGGGCTCCGGGGGCTCTTCAGCTGGCCCTGGTCCTGGTGCCAGGAGAACACTGTCAGCTGCAGGAGGGTGACTCAAGGAGCAGCAAAACCAGCAGAGGTTCCTGTCAGAGCTGCGAGAGGAGCAGAGCCAGCTGTGTCTGCTAAGCCAGCCAGCGCCACGCCTGGCCTAAGGCCCTGACCTCTGGGAGCAGCTGCACTTATCCACACATCCAACCCAGCTCGCAAAGGTAGGTACTCAGAGGGTCATGCAGAAGGCCTGCCCTGCTGTCATTCTGTTCTAAAATAGAAATGTCCCTTGTGTAAAGAGTAATACAAAACACAACAAAACTCTCATGTGATCGCTTAAAATTCTACCACCAGCCATGTATTATTTTGAGTTAAGCATTGCCCCTCTGCGATGGGCTGAATAATGGCCCTCACAGATGTTCACATCCTAATGCCCAGAAACTGGGAATGCATTACTTTACATATTTCAGGTGGTACTCCCAGAATCCTCTGCTCTGGCCACCTTCTTAAACCCTGCTGACCAGAGAGGCTGAGTCACTGGGGGAAGGTTCTACCAGGTTCTTTGGGCTTGATTATAAATGCTGGAGATTTGTGAACCATAATGATGAATGATGAGGATGATCATAGTAATGATAGTGATTATGGAATCAGGCAGGATATAAGTACATATAAACAAGTAAATAGCACTAGGTACTATACCACAAAGCTCCTGCGCACTATCCCATTCAATCATCCCATTGGGGAAGTTGTAGCATCTCTATTTTATGGATAAGCAACACAGAGAGATTATGTGACGGTCAAAAGTCACACAGCTAGCTGGAGATGAGGTTGTAGTTTCAGCCCAGACCTGACTTCGAAGTCCATGCCTCTAACAACAAGCTATTCTACCTCCTAAAAAATATTTTAAACTAACAGTTCTCCTATTGATGTCTCAGTTTTAATCAAGCAACAGTCTTCCAGGGATGGAAAGGTTTGGGGCAGAAAGGGTGGGAGAGTGATGTTAGGGGACCCTCGAGGCAGAGGACACCTAATTAATTAGTACACCACCAGTTATCCGGCCATTCCCAGTCATCTCCCCACCACGTCACTCACTTCCTCTAAGTTGTTTTGCAGACTCTCTGGACAGCCCTGGACGGATCCAGATCTAACCAGCTCAGAGTGGTCAGACATGCGTAGAACAGACAAAGATGAGTGACAGACGGCCCCGGGCCACACGCATGCTCAATAACACAAGAGAGCTCATGCCGAGGAATGAAAAGACTCATATCAAAGAACCAGAATCACCGGACATACGTCATCTGCAGTAGCCAAGCCCATTTCAAAAGCGAAGAGTCCGTCGGCCACTTCCGTGCCAAGTCTTAGCCCTGCCCCATAATAAATAACCAATAGAACTATGAATATGTAGAACTTACTAACCCTGCCCACCTGCCTTCCTCCACCCCTATATGAATATATATAATTTCCCAAACCTATAAAATGTACATGTTTCCTCAAATCGAGGAACTCAATCTGAGGTCGATAACCTCTGAGTTCCTGCTTGCTAGTCTGTGAAATAAACTCTTCTTCTCAAAACCCAGCATCTGAGAGACTGGCTCCTTGCACGCTGGGCACAGACCCATTGGTCTGGTTTCAGTGACAGGGGTGGGGGCCCTGTGGGGTGGGTAAGGGGCAGGCCAAGTGGCCACATCTAATCAAGGGACTTAATAAAGTAGTAGACCAAGGCCAGGAAGTTCCCTTAATCAGAACATAGATAGCTCTGGATCTTAAAACTGCACCATAAAAATTGAACTTTAATGTGTACTATCTTTCCCAAGTGTAATTTTATTTTTGGCAACAGAAACATGAGTAACTTTATGCCATCTTGCCTACTTTCTCAAATGGTTTTGTACTGCCGGCAAGTTATTCAAAGCAAGTTTTAAGCACAAAGAATATTTTTAATGTGATTTTTAGTTGGCAGGCATTAAGGCTTAGTGGAAAGTACCCAGGGGCTGGATGGGCCTCAGGAGACCTGGTTTTTAGTCCCAGACTTGGTCTATAGGCTTAGAGAAGTTCCCCCTCCCCGTTCAAACAAAGTATCTGACTGGGTTGAAGCTCTGAGAAATGTGGAAGTTTTTGTTTGTTTTTTATGGGCCTCAGCCCCGGTGAAGCACTGTTTGCTGGGTGGAGGGGGCTGAGAGGGTTTGCTTCTGTGGTAACTGCTGCAGGTCTTCGCACAAGGCCAGCCAGGAAGGGTCAGGGCACCAGTGTCTTGGCCTCTGACCTCTGCAGCTGTAGGTGGCTCCAGCAAAACTGGTCCCTCAATCCCTGGG